ATGAGAACATAGGCTTGAAACATGTTAAGGGCAAATATATTGGCATATAGAAATTCATCAAGGCATGTTTATATTCTTGTCACATTAAAATGCAATAGTCACTAAAATAAATATACCATATAAGTATCTACGTGTACGTATGTACACAAAAATTAACAGTTAAAGTATGTTTACACAAGAAGGTGGACAGCAGAACTGTGAATGACAATTCCTCTGTACATCAACTGGTAAGTACTCTCTTTACAAAAGAGCTTTCTCAGAGAACTAGCTAAAGTCATAACACAGACCAGAAACAGAATTTAAGCAAAGGTCTGGATCACTTGTTTGCTGACTTTGCTAGAGGACAGCTCAGGTAGAAGAGAACCTTTGTTGATGTTAAAACCTTCTTTGGGTCCTTCATATTTATAAAAACATACTCACATGTGTTTCTGTATTTATTAAGGTGACAAAGCATGTTTGATATGTATTCACACTACATATATATTTTTAAAGAATTGACTGCTGATAATGCAGAATGAATATCTAAATATATAGGATGAGATAATTATTATTCGTTCCCTTTTTGATGGAAGACTGCTAACAGGAAAATCCAATTCTAACTTTGGAATATTTAAATTATTTTCCATTTTATACTAAGGACATTTTGGAATTTTAATATTCTACTTTATAAGATATTAGCCCAAGGTCTAAGACTGCTCTTATCCCTATGAAGGACATAAAATAAAAACCAAATACTGGGACTTTTTAATATGTGGATTTGATAAAGTTATACCTCAACTGCTGCTATCATAGGAGTCAAGATGCAGTTAGTGTTGATTATGTGAAAAGTGGTTGTGAAATTTCCATAGTTTAAAAGCTTTTCTGAAAGAAATAGCTTAACTTCTTTTCTGAACATGGTGAGTATTTTATATTTTGCTACAGAAAACAGCCTGCATATTTTCAGCAAGAGTGTCCTTCCCATAACACCTCAAATAACATATTCAATTTAAAATGTAAGCATGACATTCAGGCTTCATTTGCTGTTGGTGTCTATCTAAAAAAATATAAATTGATGCAGACAGAAAATTCTAATCTGATGCCCTAAGGCCAGATCCAATAAAACACTTAAGCATCTAAATTTGGTGTTAAAGCAACTAACTTTTCAGTGGTTGTCCCCCAGAAGGGAATCTTGGGCTGAAGTGAGCTGGGTCTTATATTCCTGTCTAGTGTATAGAGCAGGTACTGCTAGTCAGGTACCAGTTAGAGGGTGCTATGAGTGGCCACTGCCTCCAACACCACTTAGCATCACCCCAAAAATAGTACACAGCTATCTGGAGCGAGTAAATAGACAAACTCCGCCAACAGGACTGAGCTATAAATTTCACCTTACAGATCCAATATGGCCAACGTCCATCTTGTAAGGGTGAGGGGATGATGCTAAAAAATATTTCCCTCTTTTACAAAAAGCACAGTGATTAAGGATACTACCCAGGAAACACATCACAAGTTCAATTCATCCTTTGCCTACAGGGAATTAGGATACACATCTCCAGGGAGGGTGTGTTTGACTTTTAAGCCATTGATTATTTTGAACTTTGTTTTTGGAAGCACTTCACATCAATGAGCAAATGAGGATCAGGATTCCGCAGTCTAGTCTTTAGGTTTGCCACTAGTTCCTTTATCCTATGCTATTTCCAGATGTAACAGGCAACATTACTGAAGTGCTCAATGGATATGCAGCTCCATAAAACCCACCAAAAATACATTTCGCAGAGGTTCATACTGAGAGATCTGCAGACTGGGAGATCTCATATATAAGCTGACCAGGAAAAGTGTTAAAATATACCTCACCAAAATTGAGGGACTATCTAGAGCAAATCCTTTGAGTCTCAGAAATTTTCCCTCAAAAGACTCAGAGCCTTAATTTTAATGTAAAAACCTGAATATATTGTTTATAATATGACTCCTATACTTAACGTAAGTCCTTCTTGTGAAATCTGACTTAATAAAACCAAACGTGCTTCATCAAATAGTCCATAATTACAGATTACAAAATTAGATATTTGGTTTTGATGATGACTGTCATGCACTTGAACTAACATCATGCACTTGAACTTACCTCATTCTTCCCAGGATCATTTGCAGTTCTACAGCCTGCTTTCAGTAAAACTGGAAAAGCTGCTATCCCTAATAAGAAAACAGACCTTGGAAATCTAGGATAATTGACCTCCTGTGACACAGTAACGACACCTTGAGTTATGCATGAATGGTGGTGCAGAAGTGGTCTGCAGTATCTCCTGCAGTCTTCCCTCGTCCAGACTAGGAACCTGGCTGGCCCACAACATAACCTTAGCAAAGCAAAGCTTTTGTCTCATGGAATTTGGGGAGTGGGTGTGACTTCAGATGTGTACAGTAGGTCTTGCCCTAACATGAATCTAGGATGCGGCACATCTGGAATAAGCAGCTGGGAAATGTCTCCAGCATCCATGTTTTACACATGGTCTTTGAGAACAGAAACTCCTCCTGTTTTCCTGCAACAAATATTGACCCAGAGCCTGATGGAAACTTTTCAGTTTTAATAGACAGATCCATAGAACCTAATTTGATTCTTGGCGTAATAATAACAACCTGACTCCAATGGAAGGTGAGGTCTCTCAGAGCTGCACATACCAGAACCTGAGAACAGTCTTTGAAGACAGTCTAAAGGCAAATAAAAAAAGTCCAAAGCAAACTGCACAAGAGATTGACTGGTAGCTTAAACAACTCCAGTAAAATAAACTGATTTTTGTCACTAAAAATTCTGGCTGTATTTTGAATAGAAATACATACGATCTTTGAAAGACTGAATGCCCCCAAACTGTTATTCAGTTTGCCAATGCCAACCAACTGTTTCTAAATGTATTACACAATGTGTGATTCACCCCTCTGACACTGAAAATTTGGTATATTGATCAGTTGCCTCTGTTATAACTTTATTCCCCCTTTAGATTATCTGTTGACTGTAAATTAATTTCACTTGATCTCAGATCACTTCAGAGATTTTTGGTCTTTTCATTTTTCAGTGGAAGAGGAGCCAAGAATAGAAAAGACAGGGCCTTCGATACTATGCATTATTTACCAGGTTCTCTCAAGTTCAGTTAAAAGCTATTTTAGTTCTCACCAACAAAAATGGCTTTTAAGAAAACCCATTAATTTTTAAATGCTTCATGATACTTATTTAGAACTTCTGATTTCTTATCTTTCTTTCTTTTTCTTTTGAATCAGCTGATGAAGGTGATGGGGTTTCAACAAGAGTACCACCACCTACGTGTGTACATTTGCATTCTTAAGTATGGTGGTAGTCTGGCTGATTTGCAGTAGTAAGGCAACAGATTGAAAAACTCACAGTGAGAAAAGTAGATAATTACTACCTCCACGAATATCTATAAGTCAAATCACTTGTTTTAATACAGATTAGATTAGTATTAAAGTTACAAGATTGGTATGAGAGACATGATAAATGTAGTCATGACAGAAAACAATTTTTAATTTAGTAACCTCTATCAATCTAGATAGCCCATGAATATTTACCATTAATTCAGTAGGCTGGAAGAGAGGGGGGAAGAACAAAAAATAGGAGGTTTGACCTAAACAAGGACTGATGAAAAAAAGAGAATTCTCAGCAATTTTTCTGGTAACAGATCTTGCAAAAACGTGAACTGGCAACAGATTGGAAAATACATTTGGGCATTATAAACAATGCCTTTAAAAAACCTCAATGACAACAAAAATAGTAGGAATTCTTAATATGTACTTCTCTTTGCAAGGTTTACCAGTCTGATTACACTTAAATGCGTAACTTCAAAGGCTGAAATAAAATCATCTATGGAAATTCAAAACAAACCTATTTGATCACATCATACTTCACAGCAGGGATACAATTTGCAGAGGCTGAGTGAGGGCACAGTATAAGCTAAAACAAGTCGTGTGTGCAATGAACCAAACTAAATGGTTTATATAAAAGAAATGTTGTTTCCATTAATTTTTCTGGTAATCCTATTAAAAACACCACCTGTCCAGAACACAATTGTCCAGATTTTAATTCTTTTTCATATCTCAGTTTTCAAACCCAAGACAGAGAAGGTATCCTCTTATAGCTACTAACATGTGGCACAAAATGTCTTATTTTGAAATCTCAATAACTGCAGCAGGTTCTCCACCTCTGTTTCCATGTCTGGCTATTATATCTTTTACTTTTTTTCTCATTGTGCTCAAAGAATTGATTTTTCTGATAAGCCCAAAGAATATTTTTGCAAAGCATATGTTGCATTTTCAACCTCTCTTTAAATTAAGTGCTTGTAGTCTATAATACTTAAAATCTACACATATTAAGGAAATATAACATAAAATGCACATTTTAAAATTCCATCACCACCCCTACAAAATCCCCTGTAACAGCCCTGAACAAGAACTTAACTTTGAATACTAACAGAGATGAAATGGTGTCATAATCAGCATAAGTGCACGTGGACTATTCACCTAGATCAAACACTTTGGTCATATACTCAATTAAATTTAAATCCCATTATATAATGTATACCAGCCTCATTTTATGCAATTCCCTAATTTAATGGCTTGGTATTAGCCTTTTTCCTTTTTGCACACATGGACTAATTTTCACGGTGCTCAGTCCCTCTGGGAAGTAGGTCATTAAAGTCAACTGGATGGAGACAGAAACTTAATACCTAAACAGTGTTGCAGAAGGGTCAGAAACACAATAGTAATGTAAAACTGTTTTTCACTCATCCTGCTTTGTAATATTTATGAAATTTCTCCCTCATATAAATATCACTCATTAATCTCAAGAATGACAAAGTAGAAGAATAAAGCTATCATCCTGTTATAATTAAATTTGTGAAACAAAGACCCAACATAACCAAAGTCCCAATTAAAAAACTAAAAAGCACAATTATAATAATATTTAGCTGTGGAGACAATACTTGTTTTACACTGAAGCAGTAGAATCATATTATTCATATTACCTTTCTCAATGTGTATTCTTTTTGCCTCATGTCCCACATCATGACCAGCCAGATCACCCTCCTTAGGTCCAGGTAGGACATTAGGTGACAAACCCATCAGCATTTGGTTCATAGATAGCCCGTTCTGATGGACAGCTGCTAGACACAAGCGCAGGCAGAAAGAAATCAGCCGTCATATTAACAATACACTTTTGTACTTATTTTATATAGTCATCCTCTTAATTATACAAGAATTCCAACAATCACAAAGCTACTTAATTAGTGCTATCAGGGTCCACATGGCAGGAGAGTTTCTTCCTGTTACTTCTGGTTTAAAACAATTTCTAAAAGAAGAGACAAAGTTGGAATGATTTTCTTGCCTATTTAACAAGAACTGAAATGCAAAATGAAGCAAACCAGAGAAGTATAGAAGGTTCTACATGAAGTACTTACTGATCTATTTTTTTTTTTGTTTCATTGTACAAAAACTCTTTAGTACCAGCATTCCCAACACGTAGTCCCTAAGAACTTTTTAAAATTAAGCATTGGGGCCTTCCAGCTGATATACACTGGCTTTCTAAATATGCTGCACAACAGTAGAATTGCTTATTTGCTCATCAGACACTTTGAAAGGCTCTTTCCAACAGTTATCAAAGAGGCCTTCACGAGTCTCAAGCACATCTCAGAAACTCCTACTAGGTAGTTTATATCCCTATGCTTTTATCCTGAAAATTGTATTTCCAACAGGTTTATGCCATTTTTAGTAAAGTAACCCATATTTCTGTAGTAGTCATTCTGGCTGGCACCACAAAAGCAGGTGTACATATGAACCTGGTGTAATGTTAACAAATCAGATAGGCTAGAAAAGAGTTATCCTATAAATAAAGAAGTTACTGAAGTGATCCACTATTTAAGGAACTCTGTTACGTTCACATGAAAAAAACAAAACGTGCAAAGGGCTCATTCCTCTCTGCTGCTAAGTAATAGAGTAAGCTGAACAGGACAATTTCTTTTTTATTAAAAAAGAGTCATTCCTTAGCAAAACCACTAAACATGCCTCAATCTAGTTTAACTTATTTTCCTTTTTAATACTGAAAGAACAATGGAAAATGTCTTCACTATTTGTAGAAAAATTAACTATTCAATCAATTTTAAAAAATTTTAATCCACATTTTTGAGGTTTTTTTTCAGAACTCATGAAATCTGCAATGTGTTTATCCTGCCTGGACACCAGGTGCCCACCAAAGCCTCTCTGTCCGTCCCCCTCCTCAACTGGACAAGGGAGGGGAAATATAATGAAAGGCTTGTGGGTCAAGCCTGAGGAAATAGATAGGTCACAGTATATGGGATGCCAATTTAATCTGCACTCTGAATCGTCGAAGTGATAAGAAAACAGAATTTTCAGCTTGTCATGGTCAGGCCTCATTTCTTTTCTTTGGTAAGTCATTTTTCATCACATACTAATGAAAGATCTTTCATCTGAAGGTCAATGAAGAGTCAGCTTCCTGAGTCTGTGGAGAGCCTGAAAAGAAGCAGCCTAAAAGACACGTGTTGCATCTAATCAATACGACTACCTATTTTGTAGAGCTATTTCAAGGCCTGCTACATGCATGCCAAATCCTCCAGTTTCACCTACTGACAAATTCCACCATGAAAAGATGACTTAAAAGCACAAAAACCTGCAATAGAGCAATAATGAAGGGAACCCTGCAACAGAACTATAATGAAGGGAATGGGCAAGTGTAGTATGAATGTAAGTGCACACCAATAAAATAGGTTTTGTTTAAAACCTTAATTTCCATTGTTGCACTGGAATATCATAGCATTCAGGATCTCTGCCATGTAATTTACATTGTGTACACGGAGCCCTTATAAAAATGGCATCACACTGGGACACCATGGTTTAATTTCATCCTGCACCTTGTGAACCATGAGGTGATAATACTCCCTGTATCATTTCTCACCATTACAAAATTTTATATTTAAAAAATGTATACAGTATGCAGATTTTTAAATTATTTAACCCAATTCTTCTCTTTACCAAGCAATTGTACAATGTAAAATATTGCTTTGAAGTCAGATTCAATTCAGAAATCAAACCAGAGTAACCAGATTAAATAAAACTCAATTTCTTTAAAAAATGTTTACACTATATGTTTAGTTCTAAAACTAATCTAGCAAATTGCTTCCCGGCTGCAATTCTGTATTTCATAGCTCGTAACTTTATGTTTAATACGACATGATGGCAGTTTGTATCAGTACCCGTTAATGTAGCATCAGATATTATGATACTGTAAACTGGGGAACATAACGTTGGGAGATAGTTATTGCAGCTGAACTTCAGAACATGATATATATGAGATCTATTTAAGACGAGGACGTTTTTGATTAGAAAAAACAGCTGCACCTAATCAAATTTAAAGTGGTGAGAAGGAGAAGAATGTGACCTACGGATTCTGTCTGAAGAGCTCTCAGTTCGTGCAGGAGAGCTGGACACACTGCTACTTCGATGAGACGATGGATGGCTGCCAGGTCTTCGGCCCTCTTCAAGAGAAGGAGCAGGAGAAGGGCTGTCTGGAACACGTTCCTAGACCACACAAAAAGTAATTGAAAAAAAAAAAGGCACTGTTAAACCAAACCTGTTTCCAAACATTACTTCCCTAAACTGTATCTCCCTCCCAAAATACAACTTGTGCTTTCACCTCTTGAGGTGTCCAGGATTTGCAGAGGATTCTCAGTGGAAACTTGACAATTTTAAGACACTAGACCTGACATTTCAGCATGCAATGTGAGCACTGCTCTTCTGATTAGGCTTTTAAACTGCCTTCTGGACAACTTATAAAAATAAGGTGTTTATTTTGCTTTTGCTTTTTGTTTTTCTTTTCCTCACTCCTGTCATCATGCTGTTGAGTTGTAAATGCGCATTTTGGCTTATAGACTTTAGCCTTCCAGGATGAGGAATGATATACTTCTGTTAATAAATATAAAGAACAGGTACAGTAGTTTTACCCTATGCTGACTTTTACTCCGCATTTTAATTCAAAGGGCCTTCCCGAGCAATGAGATCTTATGGAATTGCTATGGATCATAAAGAAAATATAATCTCCTTATATAACCTATACCAGTAACATGGCTGATGTAAGTCTAGATGTCTTTTTCTACCATGGACCACAACCCTGGAATGAATCACACATTTTGGATGAGTGTGCCCATACCATTCACCATATCACTACTTCAAAATGGGCAAAACTAGCCATTCATGTTTTTCTATCCAGGGAAAGGCCTGGCACAGTAGCCAGGAGGAGCTATGATGCACTTCAGGATGTTCCTCAGTTTTGGAGACTAGAGTGTGAGGACTGTGATGGTCAGGACTGGACATCTTCTATATGAGAACTGTTAGTATGCAGCAGATAGATATATTTGATATTACACAGAACTTTGACAGAAACAATAATCAAAGGGAGCTGAGTGCAGAATCGTCCTTTCTCGAAAATTCTCTAACGTCACCTGTAGTTTCCTTTTTATTGCTGACAGCTCCCAAGACTCATTGCTACAATATATGTGAATTAGGCTGCTTAGGTCGAATAGTGATAAAAGTAAATGGATCCTACAAGGGAAATCTATTGGAGGCACTGAAAATGTTAAACTAGCATTTTTTGGTTGTTGGGCTCTTTTCCTTTTGATAATTGAAATTCTGACTTAAAATGAAAAAAAAATGAGCCCAAACCACAAACCAACAAACAAACAACTGCACACATTCAACTCAGTAAAAGTTTGGCAATGAAATAATACAATAAGGACGTCTTTAATAGCACGTAAGAAAATTAGCTGCTGCAAATATCGAAAAATTTTCTTAAAAACAGCAGCACATTCCTCACACAGCAAAATGCTTCTGCAGCAGCCATTATTTTTCATGCACAATATCTAGATGAATATTTATTTCTCTGAATGCTCCTAAGAAACTTTCCAACATACTCATCTATAGTAATCAATAGATTTGTTCCAGGTAAGCTTCATAAAAAGTATTTGTTGAACGTCAGATTCTGATTGCAAAGGGACTCCATGAGCCCATTGATGGAGTGGGAGAAGACTTTTTAGAGCAATGTTTCAAGACATCTAAGTGGATTCCACTTTAATAGTCTTGGGTTTTTGAGTCAAAAACATTGATGAGGATAGTTTAACTGCATCATAGCTCTAGGCTTATTATGATTTTGATTGTGTTTATACATCCATGAACTGGGTATTCAAGAGCAGGATTATAATGCAGATGTTTTCAGAACATAGAAGATTTATTTCTTTAGATTTAGGAGGATTTAAGCATGCACAGCACACAGATTTGGTATGAACTGGAACACGGTATATTTAATCATTCATTTAATATATAATTTCACTGTTTGGCATACAATGTATTGTTCTTAGAAGGGTTTCATTAAAATGAAATCCAGTGAGCACATAAGATTTGAATACAGAGCTGCAGAGTAAATTAATTTATTTAAACAGCTTAATTTGTTTATCCTATTTATTTATGTGTGCTTTTACAGCACGTATTATGAGATGGAGTGAGCAAAAGGAATGCACGGGACAACGAAACATAATTACTATACAAACAAAACAGATAATGAGTTTTATACAGACAAACTCATGAGAAAACTATATATACTGGCTTTATCAATTCATTTGTAAAATACCCTTTAACTCCAAGAAAGCATGGAATTGAACTCTGCAGAAATGTAAAATAAATTAATTAACACCTTAACTAATTTTTTTATATCCTTGCTTCATAATTCCACAATCAGCAACATAGTCTATAGAAATTTTTTGTCTTAACCAAATTAGCTGCAATACTAAATGGAAATGTGACTAGTAATAAAATGAAATATTCTGTAGCTCTAAAAAGTCATAGTACTAAACTAATGGTGCTGGAATATCAATATAAGCTGTATATTTTACTGGAGATTTTGTGTAGAAAAGATAGACATGGTTTGTGGAAAAATATTAACTTTACATTTAGATCTCACTTAAAAGAAATGTGCAAAAGTGTTCACTAAATAACACAGATCTGAGCTATTCTGTAACTACAGTAAAATGCCACTTTTGTACAAGTAAGCTGACATGATACAGCCATGAAATAGAATTTTCTGCCTTATAATCCTGGCAACAGAAATCACCTAGGATTCAGTCCCCTGCCCAGTATTTTTCCTAAAACTTGCCTACTCTCAAGAGGAGATGTGTCTAGAGAATCTGGTGTTGGTTAGTACTGAAATTAGACTTGTTGTCTCCCAACAAACAAACAAATAAACAAATAAATAAAACCTGTGTCACTTTGCTAAAATGAAGTATAAGAAGAAAACTCTGCAGAGTTCTGTTTGAAATCAACACATCTGAATCTAAGTAATAAATGTAGTTTCGACATATGAGCTAGAGATGAAACGTCAGAGACACCTGTATATAGGATGCTACACAACAGGACCCACCTCAAAGGTAAGTTGTCTCCCATATCAAATTTCTCAAATCTGAGCAGCTGAATTGAGTTGTAGGTATTTTGTTTAGGAGGAGGTTCCATTGACTTTATGGTCTATATCTCAACTGAGAGACCATAAAGTCAATAAAGACTCAGATTTGAGCCATTTGAGGCATGGAGGAGTTTCGAGATGTTCACACCAGGCTCATAGACAGAACCTACACTACCTTCTGGAGTGGCAGGAGGATGTCAACAATACTATCCTTGCACCTACTGGCTGATGAGCTGAATAGCTCCCAAAACTCTACTGACAATATTTACTAGAAAACAAGAAATACGGAATTATTTATAGTTAACGAAACATGACCCTCTCTCGCTATGTTTTTTTCTCCATTTTTTGCTTCTCTATTTCTTACTACAGATACTCAAGCAAAAAGTAGTGTGAACAATTTAGGTAATATGTAGTAATTTAGCATATGGTTGACCAACATTTCAGAACTGTTAAGATACTCAATTAGGCATCAAAACCAGAGGTTATATTAAGCAACAGGTAACACACTCTTAAGGGCCAAATTTGAAGCATTCCTTTTCTAGGTGCTCTTTATAATCTGATCCCGAACAGGAAACCTAAGCATTAAAGAGTCTGACATTTATTTCCTCCAAAAATGCTCTGAGGAGCATTTTTGTGAAAGTGAAAATATAAGAAATTTTCACTTTAGAGAAACGCAATGGCCCTTCTCATACTCTTACTCCACTGACATTGTAAGTTACACACTCTCTATATCAAGTCCACTTCATAAATAAGAGACTTGTTCATGTGACATTGGGGTGTGTTTTTTTATACTGTAAAGAACAGGTAGAAGATTTTAACTGTCAGAGATTTTAACTTCTGAGATTGAAGTTGTCTCTAGAATTAGAAACCACTCCAGTTTTGTTCCAGAATACCACATATCATTCACAACATCACACTGTCTTGGTCTCTCCAAGAAAAACAGAAATGTCTTGATGCATTTATCAACATTTTTCTACATTTCTCAAACAGGAAAATCCTGCAAAATCTCATTCCAAAAGTCCATTTTAAGTAATTTCTTTTTAAGAATTATCTCAATATATTAGTAATGGTATCCAGAAGACCAGAAATAATTTCTTCCCTATATCATGTCTTTTTCTTCTTACCAGGCCACAAAAGTAGTTATTCAATATTAAACTCTTTTTTTGCTTATTTTCTTTCTGCTCCAGCAGCATGTTTTCACTGTTTGAGAATTGCCTCATTACACAAAGCCTTCCTCAAAATATACCAAAACACAAAGTTCATGGAGTGCAGCTGTTGGTCCTTACATCACTACAGAGGAGAAGATATTTCAGATAAAATATATAGGAATCATCCTTCTCCATAAGATTCATCTCTTGGGTTTACTCATCCTTTAATTTTAGCCATGGACTGAGCTCTAGACATGCAACTAAGTCTAGCTGTAGAGATGCATAATTTTTTTAACCATTCAGCTGTCTTGATGCTCATCACTGTTGAAAAAACTTTTAGAATGTTTGTGCTTTGTCACTGAAGTGCAGAGGATAAAATGACTTATTTTCAGAGTTATACTTTTCAATAGTTTAGGTAACCTATAGAATGGTTTGGATTGGAAGAGACTTTTAAAGGTCACCTAGTTCCACCCCCCCTGCCATGGGCAGGGAGAGCTTCCAGAACTTGTTCAGAGCCCCACCAGCCTTGCCTTGCACACTTCCAGGGATGGGGTACCCATGATGTCTCTGGGCAACCTAACTTCATACTGGGGAAAGTACCTATGACACAAACCATTTCAAACAGTCATTATCATAATAATGCTAATACAAAAAATTTCAAAACCTTCTAATCTGAATAGTTTATATTATTTCCAACCTTTGTGAGAAGGCACCTGACTTCTAAACTTTTTTGGTGGTAAAATTCTAAAAATCTCTTTTACAGTGATCAAAACACAGACTTCTTTCTTTAGTTCCTTACTGACCTATTTTGAACTTGTGTGAAATGTATTCTAGGAATGACTTTCTTGTAAAGCAGCATACTTAATTTGACATTGCATTAGCTGAATTAATGAAAGAAATTAATTACTTGAGTATCTTTTATATTA